CTCACACACCAGAGCCTCCTGGGGGCCCGGCAAATAGATTTTGTGTGCTCCGGTCCCGCAGTAGGCATGGGCTCCCCAATGCTGAGGGGTGGTGGGAGGAGCCCTGAGTCTTGGGGGCCGGATCCTGGCAAGTCAGCCCCCGGGCCTGAGATTTCCCTATTCCTGGTCTAGATGTTCTTGATCCTGCCACAGTCCAGGGGGCTAGGCTTGATTGCTTGAGGTGCCTCCTAGCCCCACGATTCTAGATTCTATTCTGTACAATGACTTGTCCAAGATCAGCCCGAGGGCGAGTGGCAGAACAAGCAATGGAACTCCGATCTCCACAGTCCAAGCCCATTTTAGGACAATTGTTAGTTCTGTGGGTTAATTGTTGTTGTGTCTTGTGTTCCCAGACGGTGGAGAAACTTTTAGAAACGCTATTACGTGTCCTGGATGGTAACCAGCAGAGGTAAATGAAAGGCTTCAATACACTCTTCTTAAAGCTAACTCGCCTTTTGCCTTTGGCACTGAACGCTGCCTCGCCTGTGGGGTGAGGTTCTCTATGGACAGTGTAGCGCTCACCTCATCGTACGGATTTGCATTGCATTTACTGTCCAGTGACCTGAATGCCTTACTAGTTCCAGATATTTCACAGGCTCCTCTGTTTCCCGCCTCTTGTTGGAGAAGGCTGGCTTTTTGTCCCCCCCCCTCCTTTTTTTTTTTTTTAAGGAAGTTAATTTGAAGATGTTGAGTAGGGGTATGAAGGGGAAACTGGTTACCTGGTAAGCATGCTTACTGGGTATGGGTTAACCGGTGTCTAGGAACAGCCTACCATGGGTGGAGGGCTGCTTTAGCTCCAGGGAGTTGGAAGCTGCCTCCCTTTTCCCCTGCAGGGGGCCAGCCCCCCCCTCCTTTTTTTTTTTTTTAAGGAAGTTAATTTGAAGATGTTGAGTAGGGGTATGAAGGGGAAACTGGTTACCTGGTAAGCATGCTTACTGGGTATGGGTTAACCGGTGTCTAGGAACAGCCTACCATGGGTGGAGGGCTGCTTTAGCTCCAGGGAGTTGGAAGCTGCCTCCCTTTTCCCCTGCAGGGGGCCAGGAGCAGAAGTCGGTCTCTCCCGTGTGAGGGGGGCCAGCAGCAGGAGCTGGGAGTTTCATGCATGGGGGGCTGAGAGCAGAAGCCAGCCTCCCCCCCCCCAT